ATATAAGTTCAATTAAGGAACCAATTCACACAATTATCTAATTCATTGATAATTCTAAGTATAAACAAAACATTTCCAACAATTTCATATAAAGTTTTATGAATGTGAATTTCTGCTTAAGTCATACTTAAGAACATAAAAGTTGATCATTTTAATAGTAATATCTGTATTGCTCAATGGATATATCAAATATGGTTTTTATTTTAACCCTTGTATGGTGTTCGGGTCTGTGAGACCCGTGTTCAGTTTTTTTCAAAAGAAAAATTAAACAATTAATTATTTTTTCACGTGTAAATGTGTTGTGTCTTTCCACTCACTCCACTTGATTATAACTGATTTATTTATAACATTTTATATAAAAGAAAAACGAGAAGCACATTAATTCATAAATGTGATCTAACAAAGGTAAAGGGAAAAAATTAACCATGTTTGCTGTTCATATGTCTTGTAATTGGGATGAAGTAAACATCTGTTGAGTAATTTAACATAAAATTGTTTGATAGTGTTAATTTGGAAAGCCAAAACTCTAGCGGGTCCACCAGACCCATGAACACTGGCTGAGTAACAAAAATAGAACACCACACAAGGGTTAAGATTCAAACATTATGCACATAAAAAGTGAGAGCACTTGATGTACTGAAAGACATTACTGACCCTCATCTCTTATTCATCTCTTACTTCAGATAGCAATGTAGTAAAGTTATGCTTTATGCAATTAAAATTCTAGGACTTTAGTTTAGGCACAATATCAAGAATTAACAAAGATTACTATAGATTTCTATAATATAATTAACACGTTCATCAGACAGAGTGTAACTTTTTAAAAGCAACATATAAGTAGGGATGGGTACCGGTATCCGGCACTGGTTCTGACATAAACGGTAGTAAACCAGACGAAGCGAAGTTTTGTTAAAAGCCGAGAAATGCACCGTATTTGATAGCTTGCTGCGAGACTCACACCGTGCACATCTACTACGGTGTGTGGTGCCTGTTATCGGACCGGAGTTAGCAACATCCCCCAAAAACCCGAAGAGGAGAGTCCTGGCCCCTAGCCCTGCCAGTGTAGCAGAAATGATGACGGATGATGATGGCAGCAGCAGCCGTTCTTCTCTGCGTGAGTAGCTTAATGTTGTTCGTGTGTAATTTACGTTGAGTAGGCTAACCACGTTATTACATTAATGCATGTAAGGTGAACTAGCAAACACCTCGTAGTTACATGCGGCTGTCTTCTTGTTTGATGGCAGATACTCCCTTCACCCTGGCCAAAAAGGCTAAAATGACCAAAGAAAAAGTGGGAAACAGCTAAACATGAGAGGTTTTTGGACAAAGTTTGTGTTTTTTCCATTGTTTAAGCACTGCTTCCAGCCAAGAGTGATACCATATATGCCCTCATAGCTGCAGAAAAGGCTAACATTGTTATCTTTTTACAAAAAAAACAGCTAAACATGAGAGGTTTTTGGACAAAGTTTGTGTTCTCCATTCTTTAAGCACCGGTTCGAGCACCGTTTAAGCACCGGCACCGTTTCAAAAGTACCAGTTTGGTACTGGTATCGGATAAAACCTAAATGATACCCATCCCTACATATAAGGCTAAACTTGCACTGACAAAAATATTTTTCGATTTGCTGTCACATTTTAAACACTACAACAACTATCACATTTATTAGCACATTTTCACTTTTATATGTTTTTAAGGATTTAACACACTGCAAATTTTAGAGGTCGTTCAATAACTCGATATTCAATCACAAGGAAATCGAGCATCATTTGACAACAACTGGACAATGCATGCTCTATCTTAATTTAGCTGTGGCTGTTTAGAATATATTTCATTTTTTATGCATAAATAAGACTACCTATTGATGAGCTTACACTAGTTAGGTAAGCATCACTAAAAGTTTAGATGTTTTGCTAGCTGCAAGGTAAAGCCTATATTTGACTTTATTTTTTCTAAAAGCTGACCTTGGCCTTTCATCATTATAGCATCCTCACTATAATAAATATCTTTTAGCGCCCTGCTTATTTTTTTCAGTTTATATAAGAAAAACTTCACACTTGTTCTGCCGGTAATGTCTTTTCTCCTTGACTTCTGTCTGCAGCTTGCAGCTGTCGTCTCAAGTGTTGCATCAATAAGGTGCCTGTACAGCTCAGATTAATGAGACAGATATTAAAACAGATTTCTTTTTAAAAAGAAGATTCAAACCAGGTCATCACAAGACTGGAACATGCTGTGAACAGTGCCTTTCTGTATCTGTGTATTAAGTGTGTAGTACACCAGCAGGAACCAATGTGTGTGTCAAAAGATGGCAGGGGGTTAGTATCTGAGACATTTGGTAAAAGGTCAGTATAGAGTTTGGTCAGAAACATGTCTGCGCGTTTGAGAATGAAACCACAAGAGGTACAATAGTTAGGACAGTTCGGAAGAGAGTCATTGAGGGGAAACGGGGTTTCAAATAAACTACGTACACATACACACGCAGAGAGACAGAAGAGAAACCATGTGTGTATGTGTCTGTGTTTTTGCTTCGTTAACAGCATTTTTACATGTGCTTTATTTGCCAGATGTGCATATATGGTCTTTCTCCATGTGTCTCTAAACCCTCACATTGGTATGTTTTTCCACAGCTTTGCTAATGATGCCATTAGCATTGAGATTAATACCACAGCTGATTGCTGCCTTGCTGACAGAGGGCTGCATCAGCTGGGATTACACAGTGGCAAAACCTCCTCCTCCTCTGAGACGCCACTGTGGCCTCCATTCAATGTGACTGTGTGTGTGTCAATGCAACAAACAATAGACTGAGGCTTCTATGAGCTGCAGCAGCTGCGGCAGATCGTGCTAATTTATTAAAGATGTTTCTTATTCTTCTGTCAAGAAGATTTAAATAGTTCCCTTTCATTTATTTTCTTTATAAAGGACTCCTCAATAGTTTGCAACAGTTATGATATACAGACAGGTATAAATGATATTTTATGTTGCGTCTTATTTTGTTTGCCGTGGTTTTACAGCATTATTAATCAATACGCCAAGTTACACTGCACAGCTGTTATTACAATATAGTTACAACTATTTCTAAAAGGTAAAACAGCCCTCGGTTTAATTCCACCTCCTGACAGGAGTAGATCTATCTCGTGAAAACACAGCCTCGTTATGCTTTTGCTACACAACGATGCACCAGTGACTTCACCTTTCATTTCAAAATGCAGGTGCTTTGCAGAGTAACACAAACACCTCAGTGAGTAGCACTCTACCACATCACTGCAAATGGGATCTCAGCAACAGTAGGGCTTTTTTACCTGTAAATACTATTCTACTGTAAATACTATTCTAACTGTGAAGGGCAGATTAAGCCGCACGAAGCTAATTTTAACTCCGTCGCAACCTTGCAGTCTACTAAACTTTATATGATGCAGTAACTGGTGGGTTCTGCTATCAAACCCACCTGCTATGCAATCCAAAGGAAAAAAAACAGCAGACGTGTTTGTAAAGATGGAAGCCTGGTCAGAGGTGGGCGGACGAACTATTGCTAAGGCTCTGGCAGGAGGCCAGCTGCTTCAGCTAACACACTCTAATTGTGTTTGACAACACATAACCCAACATAAACATGTCTTCCATAAACCCACAACAATATTAACTGTATTCAGCTAAAAAAAAGAAAGCAAATAAAGTGCATTATATAAGTTGGGAAGCAAAGAAGTTTGAAGGGTTTTCAGAGGGTTCAAGTAAGCTGCAATAGCAGCATTTTTTTTACTTGCTACAAAACTAAACGATAAGATTTCTTTAAATGAAACAAAATTCCAAAATAAAATGACTGTAATGAAAAAAAAATGAAGGCAGCTGGCAGGGAGAAGCAGCGTCTAAATACGCAATTGTTCATCATCCCAAAACATTATTTGTGCAATCCATTAAATGTAAGACTCATTACGAAACGTGAGACATTTAAGGGTGGGAATTTATTTTCACCTAAAGTTACGATAGTAGAAAAGTAATTAAAGTTACAGTTTAATGAAATCATGAACCATACATGGAGTCACTGGAGATTGTGCATAAATTACTTCAATTAATCACACGCACACTGATTCAGATGATAACTCTGAATCGGAAAGTTTGGAATTCCTTTCTTGTGTGTCTGTGTGTGTTTGGGTGGGAGGGTGGTTTGTAGTTGTGGGGTAGATGCACACACACACACACACACACACACACACGTCTTTCTATGTGAGTATTTTTATTGTTTTGTGTATTTTGTGTGTATGTGTGTGTGAGAGAGAGAGATTGAAGGGGCAATGTGTTGGAGAAAGGCCAGAGGTCCGGTGCACCCTGGAGAATGGACAGGGGCGAAGCCACATCTCCGACCCTTCCTCTCCCTGCTGTCATGGGATGTCTCCCTGAATGACGGTTTCCATGGCCACGGAAGCCTAGTGAGGAGGTTGAATTGTGAGCTCCGAGGGTAAAGCGGAGCAGCTTGCTGAAGGTGGCAAGGGAGGAAGGAGGAGGGGATGGGTGCACAAAGTGATATTGGGTGGAACAGGCACACAAGCAACAAGAGCAAGGTAAACAACTTTTATCCATTACTCAACACGGGCCTGCTTCAGTCTTTTTTTTCCTTTCTTTTTTGCCAATCATTTTGCTAATCAACAGTGGAGCATGATTAAAACAGCAATGGCAGCTTAAATGAACTTCCATTTGCATACACTCGCTGGGTACAATCAGAACTGATGCCAGAGTGTAAATTCACTGTGCTAAATGCATCAAAGAGTCTCGTCCAAGTGGCTGGATGCTCTCAACAGCTGTAGTTGTGAATGCATTTCTCAGAGTGTTGCAGGAACAGGCAAAGAAATGAAAGATAAAAGTAAACAGAGTGGCTTCTTTTTCTTTTGGGAATACACAGCTCCTTCCTCTGTCAGTGTCCTCACTTTTCAGTCCATCAAGTGTTTTTTTTCTTTTCTTTTAGTTCATTTATTCATTTATTTATGGGGGGGGTGGGTGGGGGGATACTTACCCTTGCTGCTGCTGCAAGTCTGTCTTCAAAGGTGGCTCTGTCAGGGCGCCCCCTGGTGTCCCTCAGTGTGTACAGACCGTTCAGGCTGCCAACCTGTGAGCATGGAAAGACAATTTCACATTCAGCTTATACAATCCCAAACTTTTAAGGCGCAAAGTGTTGCAGGGTGCAAGTTATGATATAACATTTGATCATGTGGCTGCATTTTATTTAAGAATGCAAAAACAAAGATGCATTTGGAAAAATCACTCAAGCGCTTTCTTCAGCGCAGAGAAACCAATGCAGGTACAGAGCGAGGGTCAAAGCACACAACGCATTCAGCCTTAATCACCCATCTGACCCTTTTGCACAACATGATTTCAGCGTATCCCCTCCGGCCATCTGTCTTGTGTGGGTTTTTCTGCGAAGGGTGGCCCAAAATCAAATAGCACACAGTTTATCTAACCTTATCCTGGGCTTTTCATTTCCAAGCCTTATAAACTCAATCGTATTGACCGCCTGGGAGAGTTAGAACTAACTAAGTGAAATCTACTCGGCGGCAATTGTGTGCAAGGCACACGTTGTGTGAGTGTGTATGTATGTGTGTGCGGGGCTTGCTGATTCTATCTTCCTTCACTTTCATTCTCTCTATTCTCTGTCCCTGAGGTGCATCAGGGCTGAGACTGCCGAGTAAATTGTCCCAAATTGAGTTCCTTCTTGCCGGCAGATACAGGCCACATCCCGACCGTTTAGAGCGAGACGGGGAGGGAGAGAGAGAGAGAGAGAGAGAAAACAATCACAGCGCACATCACTCGCTTGAAAAATTTCTCTCTAATTTCTCTTCTTGCCTTTCTCTCCTATGCGCCCTCCCCGTCTCTTCTTCTTTTCCCCTCCTCTGCTGATTTCCCTGCTGCCTCTCTTTCTTCTCTGACTGCATTATTCTTATGCTTCTCCCTCTTTATATCACTCCCCGTGTGTCTTCTCTTGTCTTTGTCTGCTGCGATAGGTGTACATCAGTCTTTCCTTGCTCAGCGTGGCTTTTTCCTTCTCTTTGATGATTCAGTCCTCTCCTGCTTGTTCTCCTTCCTCTATCTTTTATTACCCTTTCTCCCTCGATCCCCGTTACCCTCCTTCATCTCTAACAATTTTTTTTCCTCCCTCTCTGTGCTCTTTTCTCGCCTCAGTTTCAGTCTCTCCTTTTGCTCTCTCATCCCTCTCGCCACGGCTGGCCCCGTACCCGGTGACATAGTACCCATCAGTGCGCACTTCCTGCGTGGAGGAGCCTGGCTCCGACAATAATCACACACTAAGTTTATAACGCTTGCAGCCCAGCTGAGCTGAGCTGAATTGAGCACACGCGACTCCCCTGACGCCAGTACAGTCCATTTAACTTGGCAGGGGGCTGAAGGCTGGCTGCGGTGGGAATGAAGCATGAGGCAGAGATGGGGATGCCAGTGTGTTTTTGGGATGAGGGAACTTTGGGGGCTGGTGGGCTGGTGATGGAACAGTAACTGGTGATAGATATGGAAATGTAATGAGGGAGGACAGCTGAAGCTGAAACAGTTGCTGGAGGGGAAGAAGAGGGTGTGAGGTTTTGGACATTTGGGTTTGGGAAGAAAGTTGGGTGGTTTTTTTTTGGTGTTTTTTTAAAATATGCGCAAGTAACTCTCTCTGCATAGACTGATACTTCTTCCTTACTTTCCCTGCTCACTTTCAGCAAAATCCCGTCTGTCCCTTTGTGCAGCTTTACAGAGAAAAAGGAGGAACATTTTCAAGCATCACACAACACAGTCTCACAGAAGTTTGTGGAATAGTCATGAAACTGAAAACTTCTTTTTTGGTTAGGCTTGAGACAAGATCATGGATTGGGTAAAATACAACTCCTACCACTTTTTTTCCTTTTTAACTTATTTTTTCCGGTTGCCTGGGTCACACATTCCCACTGAGGAATCTCCGAGATGTATGTGGCACCGACATGAAATACACTTCCTGATGAACCCTAGTTTCATTGTTGTGCTGATTGCAACGAAAACAAAATAAAATAAAAATCAAGTCCATTTACATAAACCAATAAACTGCTTTTCCATGACTACTTCATATTTTTTATCTATTTCTATAACCACGATCTCCAGCAAATAACTAACTAACCCTGATGTTGGACCTCATTTAGTGGGGCAACAGCAGTATGTAGTCCACAATGTCCACAAACAGCATCAAATTTCACTTTATGGTTTGTGATCTTCACAAAAGAAAAAACATAGAGTATATATCACCTATATATCTGGGCTTCCTTGTCATATTTCAGCATATTACACTAGACATAAAATGCAAGCCATTGGAGCTAAATATTTCCTTGTGACACAGGTGCACATACCCTTTAAAACAGCAGACTAAGCCTCATAAACACACAAAGACACTTGCTGCTTCAGTGAGTTACTGATGTATCACAAAATGTCAACTCTGGATATGAATCGTGTGCACACATCGCGCACACAGACAAACTACAGCTGTACAAGAAAATTAGTGAGCAATTTCAAACCAACCAAAACAAACGCACACTTTTTGTGCCCTGCCAGAGCAAGTTCACAGCAAAACAATATGAGGCCAATCAGGGGACCGTTGGTATGGCTCTCCCTCTGCTAATGAAGGCACTTTAAAAAGGTAATCTAATTCACCAGCAGCAATTAAGGCTGGGAGCGCCTTGTCACTATCAATTATTCGCTCCTTCACTCATGTTCTCCAGTGCGGACGCTGAGCCTGCCTGACACACTGCACTGTCGGACAAATCAACCCCATCAGCCAGCAGTCACTGAGAACACTAATCATGAGAGTGTTCAAAGGCACACAAACACACGCCCAGACACACAAAGAGACATGTGATAATGTAGGCTTGAATCGGTGCACAGTGAACTAAGTGAGCTTGGGATGAATTTGGATGTTCTTGCTGACTGGACGCTGGTACCAACAGACTGATCCGTTCCTCTTTGGATCCTCTATGATCCTTTCGTTCTTTTGGGGACTTCTTTGTGAGTGAGCCATTTCCTTTGCTGCACTGCCGCACCAGATCTTAGGGTTCCCCCCACCTATCGAATCCACTTTAACCCCTCACTGTTTGCAAACTCGCTGGTTCCCATATACATAAAGGTTGAAACCCCCTCCACTACCACACACCCTATAGCGAGTTTAAAGTACTACATCACCAGCATATATGAAATCATCTTCATTGCTAAGCTTTTATTATTCTGGTTTGCACAGCTGACTGGCTGCTCCTCTATAAGCAGCTGTTCTTCTCAGCTAGGAGTGAAAGCAGAAGTAAGACTTTACATTGGTAACTTCCTTTAGTCCCTGAGATACGCCTGCTTAGTTTAATTATTCTTTCAAATGGGACTTTCACAGAGTCCAGCTGTACAGCAATCACTTCCTTTTTCATCGCACATAGAGAATGAAAACCCTACCAGTGTGCTTTCTTTTTTTTCAGTCTCTCCACATAAGACAGAGAGAAGACAACCGCAGGATCGAATAGTTCGTTCAGCTGCAGCACAAAACACCAACTTTAGTTTCGGTTGCAGGCACGCTTTGAGACTACAGGGAAACGGGTACCAACTAAAAGGTAAGTTGTGAGAAAATGTTTCTTTAGTGTAGTTTTAAGATTCCTGTTCTCACACTGGGATGTCTTTTTTCATAGATGGCACACGACAAAGCCTTGTTTTGTTTGACTTTGGTGTTGTCTGTGGTCTTGACCTCACCTCCGAAAACCCTTGACTCAATACAACAACTCCAGGACAGCGGGTTTGGTCAGCCGCCTCCTCGCCATGGCCTTAAGCTGCTGGTGTGGTACGTTCAGAACTGCTTGGACAACAACATGAGGGCTCTGTGTGATCCCTACCGGGGAGAATATGGGTTTCACTTGTTTCAGAACAAAGGGCCAGTTCTTCCTGTGATAAAAGACAGACAGCAGTGGAGCTATTACACCATTGGAAACCTCCACTATCCTGGCGCAGAGAAGCTGCCGTATGAAGTCAGAAGATACTACAACCGCAGCAATCCTAAAAGTAACATGGACAGAGTTTTGGTGAAATATAACAAGAACAACAAACGAATCGACGAGCTTTATGCATCCGCGCATTATGAGCCAAAAGAGACGTACAGGATTGGGCCCAATCTTCTTGCATCTCTTCGAAAGAAAATCGCCTTCGTTAGCACAGACGTGTAGGAGACCTCTGATCCTAAATCAGTACAGTATGTAACAGCTTTGAGAATTTTGTGAATCTAAAAAATACAGGTGAAGTCACAATCTTTGCTTTTATGCTAGTTTCTTTGAAATAAAGTAGCCACAAGTTTTCACTTTGAGGCTTCAGTGTAAACTATGAGCTTTTGTGTAACCTGCATCTTATGCCTGCTTGTAGAAAAAAAAAGTAATCAATAAAATCTGTTACAAATGTGGCTCCCAAAGTGGTTTTCCAACTTTTTTTACATAGCATGCCCTACTTCAGACAACCAAAAACATTCATTCAACTTAGTGTCCATCCACATTTTTTCTTCTTGTAGTGTTATTAGCAGGTCTAGAAGGGTGTGGAATCACTGTCAAAGCCTCACTACATTCTTCATTTCCAGTTAATACTTGTACAGCTGCTGTTATTGTGTATATGCTGCTGTTATTGTGTATATATTTATTTATATTTCTTCATACATTCTTATATAGTTCTATATTGTGTATTTTGTTGTACAGTTATTTTATTTTCAACTTTAATTTATATATTTTATCTTATTCTTTCCCAGTTAAATTTACCCTTCATTCTAATTTGTGTTGTACAGTTATTTCATTTTTAACCTTAATTTATATTTTATTCCTTCCTAGTTAAATTTACCCTTTTTAATTTTTCATATTTATTTCCTATCTTATTCATAGCCTTTTCCTTTTTTGTTTTCTTTAGGTCACGAGCAGTTGTCCAAGCATTTCACTACATATCGTACTGTGTATGACTGTGTACGTGACAAATAAAAATAAAATTTGAATTTGAATTTGAAATTTGAACCGGGCAAATGGCACTGGCATGGGTAAAAAACAACTGACTCAACAAGTTTATCCTCACTAATTCGATTGTATTTTGTTT